ATGATCGAAGATGGCGAGTGGCTTTCCTACTCCCACGATACAGAGATACAGATGTAAATGATCCCTGCAGTCCACTAATTGACGCGCAGTTTTTTTTTCGGTACAGCTGCCGAATCAGAAGACACTGCGCAGCTGTTGGGTGGACAACACTGTCGCTTTCTTTTCGACCATCTGACATTATCCTCTTACAAACCATCACCGGCACACCTGGCTATATTGATAAACGAGCAATAGTTCTGATCGGCAGGAGATGATGCACCCCTCGAGCTTATTCGCTTATTGACGGCACCCTTAACAAAAGAGCGTTAATCTTTGCAGGTCCCGGCGCAAGGCATCCCTCTAACGATACTTGTTGAATTGGTAGCAGTACAAAGACCTGCATCCAAGTCTCCATGTCCCCTAAAATTCTGCTGTCCGGTCAGTGACGACTTGCCTTAATCCCAGTCCGTCCGATCGTCGAGTGAAACGCTACCCAGCCTTGGAATCCATTGCGCGCACAGATAGATCGGGTGTCAGCAGATACGGAGCTGTGCCCATGCTGTGTATTCTGGATTTCGCCAGTAGTCGCGATACAAATCGCGTATGGTGGAATTGGACGGGCAAACAAGCGGGCTGGGGGCGGGTGGTGTGGTTGCTGGCTTGCGAGCTACAATCAACTAGGCCGTTAGCGTCCTTCAGTCACATGGGGGTTTGATTTCACACATGCACACCATCCACATCTAGCACGTATTTAGCGACGGGTTCAGTCAAGCGCACAGATACATGGTAAGCAGCAGCGCCTGTAAGGGTCAGATTTTGGCAGAAGCGCCGCACGCCTCTCAGCGCTGGGGCCAGGGTTATGGCCGCCAGGGATGGCGGCCACTATGTACGAGTGCGCCATTTGTTCGGATCGCCCGTCTTGAAATGCTCTAGACAACCATGGGGTGGCACCCTGCTCGTTCCCCACACACTCACACCAGGTTGCTGCCGAGCTATCGAGGGACGCAGACGTCATTTGGCCTGGGTATGTGGACAACAATCGATCCGGCTGATCACTAGACCCCAGGGCGGGTGCGAGGGGGGTGCGCGCGCGACACCTTCATTGCTCCAAATCTACCGGCCTTGACTGTGTTTCCAACTGTATGGTTACTTTCGGTCCTAACGTCGTTGGCTGTGTCGAACGATATTGACTATTATCCCGCACTACCGGAAATTGAGGGCCGCTGCAACTCTCACTGTGTCGGGGGGCCAGGGTAAAGTTGATTAACCAAATCTGCAAGTCTCTGCAGACACCTAGCCGCCACCGTTCAGAAACCCTCAAGGCTGGTGGGCAACCACGATCCTGCTTACCTTGCGTGAACGGTGTGCAAAGTCTTTAGTTGCATCCCACTGGATGAGTATGGTAAGCCCTCTCTTGTCTTTGTCCTCTTGCCTACAACGTTCGATACGTTTTCGTCGCGGTTGAGTAGGGGTTTTTTTTTCTCGCTGAAGAAAGCCTTTTTCAGACCCCTTGGCGAGTGAATCATTAACATATCGCTCACACAGGTCATATAGTCGAATTTGCTATTCTATCGCAATCTTCACAAGGCCATACACACCCACATCACAAAGATTTTCCAAGCGATGTGAGCGATCGACGACTAGAAGATCAGGCGACATTCCCTTTGATGTCGTGCATACGGCACGCCACGCCGCAGTGGTCACCCAAACACCCAAACACCGCGTGTGATTGGCATATCTGGCAAGGAACAGGTCTCTTCACAACATCAACTGACTCGCCTGCCAGTTCAAATCTAGATTGATTATCGAGATGATAAGCATACGTTCACAGGAAAACTCAGTGGCAATAAGCATAATGCTTATGCCCTCGTATCGAACGATGCCCTCTATTTCAGTCGACGCGCGTCGGACCCATGCGAATATGCATGCAACAAACATCCAAGCAGACATATCCAACAGGTCTAGGCCTTTTGGCATTTGCTCAATCCCTTGATCACAGGTGCTGCCGTCATGCAGATTGTTGAGCGCATTTTTCATATGAACGGCGTTTAGAATTCCTCTAGGACTCCTTTACATGCTGCATTTCAATGACCTACAAGCAGTAACGGTATTACGAGACCACTGGAACCTTTCTATTTTTGCCTACCAACAATACACTTATGACAGTAGATCACGATTGTTAGAGGCTCAGCAGACCAACATCTTCGTTTTCACATTTCTTCTATACCAAGACGCTACTATACGGCTCATTCCATGGAGAATACCCACATGGTATGGCTTTGTTGTGTCTGACAGCCTACCTTAGTTTTACGTACCATGCATTGGTGTGTCATCGGAAATTCCCTTTTCTGGCTATGGTATACATGGGGGGCGTTTATTCTAAAAGAAAAAAAATCATCAAGGGGATGACCAGGAAGGTACGTGACCTCCAAGGTAGGAATATGGGGCAGAACCGTATGAAGTTTTGCCTCCCTGTCGCGCGAAGCGCGACATGAGCTGAATACACAACGTCTCATCTCCTGAGGCACTGTACAGGGTAGGCGTTCCAGGAATAAGACTGTATGCACGTAATCGGTGCCCGGCCTATCTTTCTACTCGGCTATACTTTAGTTACATGAATGCTGCATTTGAACGAAGGGATGTCCCGTTTTGCTTGGCGGTGCATCTTGGACACGACAGCGATACTCGTAAGATCCTGCCACTACCCGTCGACCCACCTTTTACAGGCTACACGCGACAGGCGACTATCAAGTCATTCTTGCATTAGAAGAGCTGCGTGGATCGCCACTGAGGGTTTGATGCTGAATGCCGGCCGGCATATTGGCAAAAGAAGAAAAAGCAATGTCTCCTGTGCTCTGCAGCCTGCAGTCCAGTAACATCACGCATCATAATGACAAGGGCCTCATTGGACAGAAACAAATTAGGCTGTGGGATGCGGGGAGAATTGCAGAACCATTCAGGCGTCATTCTGGAACGCCAGCCGCTACACAATAATCAAATCAGAGATGCTTACATTTCCAGCTCACATCATTTGAACTCACTGCACCTCTGATTGCAATTTGATTCATAAATTCACAATCACCAAGAAAAGGCCCAAAGCCTTCTTGTAATCCTACAGAATCCTACCATCACACCCTCCCGCGTCATAACGATGCCCTATGACAGCGCACCACCTACTCCATACAGGCCTTGATGCCGTTGCGAGCCACTCGCCGGGTATCCTGCAAGACATGCCAAGCCCATACACAACCCAGCAAACCGTGTGAGTTCCCTGAATCGATCCCGAAGGCTAGAGCCGGACGGTCGGTTAGTACCGCAGTGCGAAAGATTTCTGCTGCTCGAGAATACGGTAAAAACTTAAACAGGCCAAGCGCTTGCATACCATCGACCCTTTTTTTTTGCCCTTATCTGCGGCTCGCCGAACCGCGACCAGCCGGCCAAGCCCTTGTTGCCGTCGCCATCGAACGTGGCATGCATAAGTAGTGATGGTAGGATCCATACCGTGGGGGGCGAAGACACACGCAATCAAGCATGCATGCTTCCTGTGGCTGGTTTTTTCCGAGTAACTCCGGTTAGACGTCTTGACTTTCTGGGAGGATCACCCAGGACTACTCCCTTTTTTTCTTTGGCCCTGTTTATCCATGGCAAGTAGAAGTTACTCCAGGGGTGCTCTTCTACATCCGAAATTCTTCGGCCTTTTTTTTTCTGCCAAAAGTCCAATCCGGAAAATGCAGATGCAGGATGTCATGTACAGTATGCACAGCTGCATTGTTTTCCCTTTTGATAAGATCCTTTTCTTTCTTTCTTGTCGACCTACTTTGATAATGGGAAGAGTTGAGATGCATATGCATCATTGTTCACACTGTACATGGTTCAGTTAGGTATGGCAGGTAAGTACTTGCATCAAGTCACGGTAGTATCGCTTGCCCCCCTTTTTCCGCGGTACAGCAAAGCAGAAGTTCAACGGAAATGAGAATAATAACAACATTGGTGTATTTATCCGCCCAAAGAAGCACTTTACGCCGGATGTACATTATCTTGGCTTTTTTTTCTCTGCATAATCTAAGATACCATCTTGAAAAACTCGAATCTCAACCCTTCCACACCCCTCCTCCCCTCCTACTATTTTTTTTCCTGCAAAAAATCTAGCAAAGTACAAAATACTGGCTTTTTATTCTAGAAAAAAAAAATACAATCTCAATCAATCAGCAATACCAAGTCCTTTAACCAGAAACCCCCCCAAGAATGCTATTTACAATCTTCTACCCCTTAGCCATTCCCCTTCCCCTCCTTCTATCTCCAGAACAACCATCAACTTTGACAAAGAAATCCTTCCACCTAAATTTGATCTTCTCCTCGGTATACTTATCATATCCCTCCAATAACCACATTAAACAAACCCCACAACGCCCTCCCATCCCACTACTGTATACATAACCACCCCCCTATAATCCCTTAATCCAATCTAGACCCTCTCACATCTTCTACACCTCGCTACATCGCTTTTCTGTATTATAGGATATATATATATAGCGTCCCATCCCTCCTCGCCCCTTATCCGTGATTTTTTTTACAATATTGTAGAACTAATCTGACTTGGGAACGTATATGAGTGATGGGTTTGTAGATGTCGTTTGGCTTGAATTAAGCTAGCAGAACAAACGCGGGGGGAGGGGGTGGGGGGGAAACAGAAGTCTCTGTGTTCCAATTTTAAATGTAGATATGTCGAAAGAATGGGTACTAAGATAAATGGGAGGTATGGTGGCTTTTTTTTTGTTGAAATAAGACGAGCCAAAAACCCCCCCACCCGAGTAGGGAACGACCAAAAAAAAAGAGAGAGAAGCGGACGAGAAGAGGGTATCTAGATGCTGGATAGCTGAATAGATATAAAACAACGCTTTTTGCAATAAAAGGTGTTGTAGTTTACTAATCTCTCTTAGGTTAAAAAAAAAGAAAAAGAGAAAACAGAGAAGACAGAAAGAAAACGATATCAGGCAGAAATGCCATTCGTATACTTCAAATTATTCTAACATAATAAAGTACACCATTTCCGCAATCCACCTTAATCAAACCCCTCAAACTCACCTTCCCTTTCCCCACCCTCACTCCCACTCTCCTTACTTTCCTTCCTCCTCGCCTTCTCCCTCTTCTCCCTGCGCATATTCTCAATCTTTCTCTCATACCCACTCTTACTACTAATCCGACTCGCCTTGCCTGTCCGTCTGGCCTCAACACCCCTCCTCTTAAGCACCTGTCTATCCCTCTTCGATGGCGTCGGCAATACATCCAGCAACCACTGTTTAACACTCCCTTCATCGGCATTGACACCTCTCAGCGCTTCAGACGCGCGAATAACGTTGGCGATGAGTTTAACGTAAGGTATGTCGTCTTGGGTGTAAAAAGTAACGGCGACGCCGCCGGTGCGGCCAGCGCGTCCTGTGCGGCCGACGCGGTGGACATAGGCGGCGGCGGAGGAAGGGGCGTCGTAGTTTACGACGCCGTTGAGGCCGCGGAAGTCGATGCCGCGGGCAAGTAGGTCAGTGGTGATGAGGACCCAGATTTCGCCTTTGCGGAAGCGCGTCATGATTGTGTCGCGGGCGGAGGAGCTGAGGTCGGCGTGGAGCACAGCGATGCGTGAGCTGCCGCCGGCTTCGGGGGGTATGTCGTAGAGGAGTTCGGAGTGGAGGGCTATGGCTCGTGGGATTGTTTGGGTGAAGACGAGGAAGGGGGGACGGAGTATGGGTTGAGATGAGTCGGTGTGGACGGCGGTTGGGTGAAGGAGTTGGCGAAGGCCGAGGAGTTTGCCTTGCTCGGTGGCGGCGTAGGTTAGTTGGTGGGATATGTTTGGAATGGCGCTGTCTTTGAGGCCGACAACGAGGCGGATGAGTGGTGGTCGAGGGGGTAGAGCGGATTGCGATGAGGAAATGGCAGACCAGCGGTCGTTTAGAGTAGAGATTGTCAGACTTTCAATGTTTGATCCCATTGTTGCTGACCAGAGTCCGACGCGAAGACTGAGATTTGTGCATGCGTTCCATACAGCCAGAGTTTGTTCGCGGAACAGAGGATCGAGGAGGACGTCGGCTTCGTCGAGGACGAGTTGAGATATGCTAGAGATGCTTGCAACGGTGCCATCTCTACGCTTCAGAGAATTCACGAGAGCAAGCGGAGTTGAAACAAGAATCGCGGCCTTTACAAGCTCTGCTCGGCGGCCTGTCTTCTTTTTCGGTGCTTCCTTCTCTTCATCTTCAGATTCAGATTCACCTCCTTCGTCATCAGAGGCTTCAGATGAGTCTTTGGCCTCGTCCTCTTTTGTCTCTTCAGGCTCATCTTCATCGTGTGCCACCACCTGCATGCCCTTCCTCATAAGCGTAGCCTTAACCGCAGTACCTTTTGCCAGCTTCCTCGCTTCATTCACAATCTGCGATGCCAGTTCCCTCGTGGGGGCAAGTATGACTGCACGAGGACCATTCTTGGCGTCTGCGCTCTTGCTTTCTGAAAGCAACGCATCGATGATCGGTATGAGAAACGCTATAGTCTTTCCGCTGCCCGTGGGCGCAACCGTCAAAAGGTCGATATCTCCATTGTATTCCGCTCCAGACAGATTCTCGACGTCTTGCAAGAGGCCTGGCTCACCTTTCTTCCGCAGCAGCAGTGGCAAAGCCCCCAGTTGAACCTCTGTCGGCAACTTGTAACCCTGCTCTATTATATTCTCTGCGAGGCGTCTCGATATGCCGTAGCGTGTTCGAAGCTGCGCAAACGATGTGATGGGCTGAGGGTACAGCGTCTTCTTCGTATCCTTCTTTTTCTCCTCTTCCTTCTTCTTCTTTTTCGACTTCTTCTCCTTGCGCGGCTCTTCTATTTGTGGCGCAAAGTCCCCCAACACGGCAACCTTGAGCTTGTGCGAGCGCAGTATCCTTTTACATTCCTCCACATCGTAGGGTTCTTGCTGGACATTGTTTATTTCCTTTTCCAAATTCGCCGCCTCTTCCTGCTCCTGTTTCTTCTGCTTCTTTCTCTGCTTCTTGGATAATTTGTCCCCGCCAGCCTGTGCGTCTCTGCCTGCGCCTCCACCAAAGAAATCGAGGTCTGCGGGCAAGGCAGCAGAACCGGACTCTGACTCTACAACATTCTGCCCTCTCTTTCGTTTGCGACTCGAGTTGGACGAATCTGGCGACTGTGGTGGCTCGTTGTGGCCGAAGAGCTGTGGATTTGCGACGGCGCCGGAAGAGGGAAGCTTTTGCGCGTGCGAGTTCTGCGCCGCTTGGGAAGATCGCGAGAGGAGCTTGAATACGTTCATGGCAGTGACGGTGCAGACGGGGTAATCTGTGGTAGGGCACTCGACATCAGGGTTTCCATACAGAGCTCAATTTGAAGTTGTTCGCGATGCAAAAGTTGCATTGTTGCAATGGGAAAAATAACTGGGCCGGTGCTATTTGGCCGAACTAGCGCCGAACACCTTACATAGCATTCACAGCACGGGCTATGGCCGATCATTTACTGAAGTAGATGCATTGCCAGTAAAAGTGCACATGTAGAAAATGGAATCTAAATCAGAGGTATGTGCAGTATACAGTATCGGATCCCTTGCACCCCGAATGCACCGCAAACACACTTGGTCGGCTCATCAGCCCGCGAAATCGTACAGTGTTTCCTCACCCCGCCCCTCGTCGCACATCTAACTTTTGGCCTAGCGCCAAATGTATACTTGAATGTCATGTCTTGATCTTGTTCACTTTATTGCACTCAGTGGTGCTCGTCCTTCTTGGTCCTGTAGCCAACCAGCTTGAAACGGCCAATGATCTCGCCAACAGAGAAGAAGCCAATGACCTCGGCGGCGATTACGCCAATCGAGTACCACTGTGCGCGGGTGACGTTTCGGATTTGTGCGATGACGTTGGCGGGTGACTGCTGGGTGGCGCTGTTGGCCTCGCTGGCCATGCGGCTGAAGAGGGTGCTTGGGTTGCGGAGGGCGTTCAGAGCGGGCTGAATGTAGTTTTGCATAGTCTGGACGGATCTGATGGTCGTTAATTGTTTGTGCTCCAAAACAGACGTAAACGTGGCCTGCAATTCTGGGGAGCTTACGGTGGTTGCATGTTTCGCTGCTGGGCAATGAGCTTGCCGAGCTCGAGTCCAACCTTTCCGTAGTAGGTGGCCCGGGGAATGATTCCTGTGCAATTGTCAGTCGACCGCTCATCAGGCACAGCCACGTTATTTCGATGGCGCTGTCAAAAAGCGTGGCGCAAATCTATCAATGCCCCTCTCACTGCTCCCCTGATAAGGCATATATCACTCCTCTGGCGACCCATTGAGTGTCATAGCCTTCACCCCCTGCTCTTCTTACAGCCCATGATCCGCCTGGTGCCATTGAACGTCTCCCCGCGCCCCTCGCCTATGGGTGTGACTAACCTTGCACGAAGTTGACCATCCTTCCTACGCGGCCCGTAGCTTGCTGCGACGCATTGCTGACGGCCTGGCCAGCGCTCGACGCCGCAGAGCTCGCCGAGCTCTGGACCTTGGAGAGTCCCTCTGATGCCTTTGACTGTGCCTTTGACGCAGCGTCTTTTACCGTGTTGGTGGCTTCGGCGGTCGTCGAGGCATTGCGGATGCCAGCGCGGCGGACGGTGAACGTCGACTGCCGTAACACGGCACGGGATGCGGCGAGAGACATCTTGATGCGAATTGAGCGAGGGAAGATGGGTTGTCGCCGGTCGTCTGCTCGTGAGGGTGGATGGAGCTCCGGCAGTGAGCTGACGATTTTTCCGAGGGGGCCGTGCGCCGCTTGTCGGAACCCTCAGCGGCTCAGGAGATTGATTGAGTGTTCATCTTTACATCACCCAACGCTTTTGATCTATTGTATATTCAACACATCTGTTAGTAGAGCGGACCAAATGCAGCCAAACTTATGTGTAAGGAATGCAGTGACTGTAGAAAGCCGTATTAACGTCATCATTGACGGCACGTGAGAATATTGCATCTTAACCACAGCGCTGGTACAAGTCTTTTTTTAGCGCCAATACGGCTTTATACCAGACTATCTAGCTTATCACTCGGCGAACTGCTGATATTCTGTAAAGGTTTGGTTCTAAAGTATCTTACTCAACCCTTTCTCTGGTAAACCATCAGGGGTTAGGTATGCTCAAGAAACAACAAAAATAACAATCTCATCAATTCTCCCCTCTAATCCATCACCTAATAGTCATCTCTAGGAGGTCTCTCTTCTTCTCCTTGGGCTGGCCTAACATTACCCCCTTGATCAAAAAATTCAGTTTTCTAATCTCCGTCCACCGACTCAAAGCCCCCAACTCAAGCACGCTCATTCTCCTCATCTTGCCACTCGGGTTCCCGATCACCACCGCTTGCCAATCGCTGCCTCTACCCATCTTCTCTAGGTCTTTGAACTCCTCCCATGCTGCCGTGTCGCGTCTGGTGCCAAAAGTATGATTCGGTATGACTTGCACAGACCTGAAGCGCAAGAGAACCAAGATTAGAAGAACAGTCAGGCCTAGGAGAATGCCTGCTGTGACGCCCGTCGAGGTTTGGGCTCCGAGCCGTCGTGTCATGTTTCCTCCGACTATTGTTGCTATAGCGGCGAGTATGAAGGCAATGATCTGGCTCGCAAATATGCCGGCTGTGATGCGAGGAAATGACGAGTAGTTTGTTCTTCTTCTGCGGTCTTGCGCTGCCATACTTTGAAGGCGATGTTTTGTATTGACGCCAGGTTGTAAATCGCATGTATCAAATGTTTCCATTATGAGCCCATGGCACTCGGCTATGGCGAGAATGCTGAGGAACCCTATTGCACCGGCGAAGATGATTGGCACAATATATGGATAAGGGCGCCCAGCGGAAGAGACTGTATATGCCATTCCCATGAGAGGGAGTGTGAGTGTGAAGACGGCGCGCCGCACGAGATGGCTGGTCCAAGTGACTTGCTTCTCAAATGTCATCGAGTCGGTGCGGAATGATCTTTTGCGGTCGCGAGAGAAAATACCCGCCTTCGTCATGGGGATGGCTAATAGTGCACCAATGGCAATAGACATGACACCTGCGCCCACCAGTGTCGATCTCCATCTGTAGTCTCGTGACAAAAGAGCACCCAGGAGAACAATGACGAGCACAACCTGTGCGTAGATCCAGCCTAAATAGACCGCAAGGACGAAGAAGCCTGGCTGAAGGAGCATCATAGTCATGAGCTTTATCCCTGCCCATACTTCTTCAAACCAATACATCGGCCCCTCTGTCTGAATATGCAACTTCACCTCTCCCCTGCTGATCCGTCTCGTAATGTAATTCTCGTCCTTGTCGTACACTTCAGTTACCGACTCGCGAAACTGTGCCCGTCGTGTTTCCGAAGCAGTAATGTTGAGTATCAAAGCCACCAGCAAAATCAGAATCACAACGTAGAACCCCCATTGCGGCTGTAGGTCTTCAATGATTGCAGCACCGAGTTGGAAGCCTACAGCGAGTGAGCCAATCCAGCACCAAGACCAGATTCCCAGCCATAAGCCCATGCCTCCACCGTGACGGCGTACGTCATTGACAACGACAAATTCTTGGTGAGGATTCTTTGATTGCAATGAGGCGCCGAATAAATCCAGTAGTACGGTAATGTAGTTCACATTCGCAAAACCGAGAACGAGGCCCGATGCTCCACGAGCCAGGAGAAGTCCAACGCGCAATTCGGGGTCTTTATCGGCATGTCCGCTTACAACGATAGCTTGAGGAAACTGAAGTGGTAGAGCAATTGTCAGGGCTGAGAGGACGTAGGGTTTTCGTCCGTGAAGGAGAGGTAGTGTCCAAGCAAAGAAAGTAGAGATAGCAAGCCCAGCGAACAAGACTGCGTTGCCAACAATGGTCACATGCTGCTCGTCTGCTAGAGAATATTGTATACGGGGTACCTCGCCAGCATAGATGCCAACAATAATTCCAAGTAGAGCTGTGTTGATGCATGCTATCGTTGCAGTCAGGCGTTTCTTGCCTGTGGACCAATTCCTTGCAATTGGTTGTCTGCGGTGAGGCCGTATCAAGTTGAATGTATGATGATGCGCCTGCCCTCGGACTGTGGGTTCGTTACCATAGGCTTTTGCAGGTGGATGGTCTTCCTCGGATGAACTATCGTTATCGTCCAAGCCAGTATCCTTTTGATCGAATTCCGAATCGGGCAAAGGAGTACGTTTGAGGCTCTTTTTCTGTGGATGAGGGTTTCTACTGGCTCTAGACTCGTCGGTATTTCGTTGGCGTGAACGACCACGGGACTCGTCTCGGCCTACAGGGCGGAGAACAAAGTCTACATGCTCTCTAGGAGCTGCTTTGATATGCCTTGGCTGAGGAACACTTTTGTGAGTTCCTGATTCATTGCGGTCTTGTTCGTTCTCTCTTTCAGGTGCAGTCATCATCGGATCACCCTGTTCTGGGTGCTCTTGGCTCGAATATGCCCAATCATGGGATACTGAGCCTCTGTGGAGCCCGTGGGATGGATGTACATTGGGCGCAACATTTTCGAGTACATTCCCAGGAGACTCTGCTGAATGATAGGGACTTGAAGATGGGCTAGAAGAGCTAGATGCTTTGAGAGGAGAAGCTGTCTCCATGAGATGTGTAGGTTCCCCAGCTGCCTCTTGAACGGCCTTTTTGGCACCTTCGATGATCTCATATATCTCCCTTACTTGGCCTTGATCTTGAGTACCCTCGGCAACTTCGACAGCTTCTTGTACCATGTCTTCCAGATCGTCTACTGCTTTGCTTATCCTTCTGCTGGCGCTATGCTCGAAGGCACTGCGAGATGGCCCCTGGATCTTCGAAATGATCGCTTCCGTTGATGTGCTATCAGAATCGCTCCTTGCTGGCACGATAATATGTTCGGGAATTTCAGGCTGCTCCAGATGATCTGGAATGGGGGCCAAACTCTGAGCGCGTGAGCGGTAATCATTGTGCTTGGGGTTGTTGATATCATCTTTGATGTGCACAATCGATAACCGTTTTTGGGGATTGTGCGGTTGTGAAATTGATATTCGGTGGGCCGTTCTTGGTGGAATTGCTTTGATGGAAGCCGAGGATGTCCGTCGAGCCTCTGACTGCTGGTGTCTTGTAGCTGGCGATGGGCTACTTTCAGCTGCTGACGTGCTTCGACTGTCAACCGGTGAGACATATGTTTGCCTTCGCGCTATTGGTTTGGCTCCTACTGCAGCCCATGAGGCACCAGAGGCAGAGGTCCTGCGACTTGGAACACGAGTGCTTGGAGATGGTGAGTTCGCAGAACTACCAGGACCATCCACTGTTGTGTTATGTTGAGTTCCTATAAAAGTGCCTAGCTGTCCATTTACCGAGCTTTTGCGCGAAGCGTGAGGGCGGTTGTCTTCAAGCCAAGGGAGCCTCCTCCTTGCGGGTAGTAGAGGCTTCCTATGCTCGGGCATTGATGTCGGTTTCGATCGCGTACTCGGTTTGTTCGATTCTTTGAGAGGAACCCCTGCCATCTGTCTAACTAAGAAAAACTAAGCGGGAATATGATTGAGCAAATAGCAAATGGTATCACGAGAAAAGAGATGTAAAATATCCAAGGAGCGGAAGAGAGGTTTGAAAGGTGAGTCTTTAGGTGAATGCGGATTCTCCACTTGCAAGCCTGGGTGGGAAAAGAGTGAGTGACGACCAGCTTGAAGCTCCTACGGGTAAATGCGTGTAGGGTGGCGAGATTTAGGAATGAGGTGAAGCTGGTCGTAAGAGAGATGCATAAGGTGAGAGCAGATGTCGGAAGATACGAAGTCGTAAGAGGTTGTCGGGACCGTGTCCTTGTTGGAAGTTAAGTGTGAAAATATTTCTATATTTAGGAAAGGCTCTTTCTCAATGCCAGGCGACAAGGATACTTTATGTACTGTGGGAAGGTACCACACACTGGCCTAATATATAACAAGACGGCATCACCATATACATCGATGATTTTTATCCGTCTAGATTCAGCCTATACATGAAAATCACAGTGCGCTATTGTTGGACCGCTTGTAATATCGCTCCGGTCATACCAAGCACCTTCTCTTCCTCAAGTCTTTGGGCGATAAGTCTATGTGCATCAGCGTCATGATCAGGAGGGTCACTCTGGTGCGATACTTACTGTAAGCTCACAGGGAATCCATCCAGCAGCTCAGGATCATCTATTATACATCAGTCATCAAATTCTCGCATGTTGTGGTGCAGTGTATCTTACAGCTATCCTGGGTAGCTTTGCAGAAATCACTTTGAGGCTTGTGATCACTCAAGCGTTTGTCTTTTGTTTTGTCGACCGAGACTTCACAAGGAAATGATACCGCCGAGTAGTCTACTACATTGTATACGCCAGTATATCCCACGTATTTGAATTCACCATGCGGTACGCTGGAGTAGGGAGTCGTGGGCGCTGTCAATGGTTAATCAGTGGGTACCAATGATGCGGGTTTCAGGCTTACCTAGGATAGCATCGAGTCCTTCCATAGAATTCCATTGTTCCAAGTATTGTCTTTGTAGCTCGCTTCTCGCCAAATGTAGCTGCCACATTTCATAAACTCCTAGTTCTTTGGATTCTGCATACGCTTGCATCTCTGGGCGAAATGGTTCGCCGGTCGGTTCGAGCAATTTCCTGACGCTCTTAGCACCGTCTGCGACGAAGAATTTTGCCTGTACTATTTAGTGTCAGAATTTGGATAGTTTTTTTAGGTGCTTACCAGAATTTCGAGTGCGGTCTGATGCAGCTTGGGATCCCAATCAACAACGTCGTGTCCTGCCTTCTTCAACTTCTCCGCAGTCTCTTTCAGTGCTCTGGTTACCGGAGGTGTGGGCATACAGATACCATCGTTCCAGAGTACCGCGATTTTGAGTTTCTTAGGAGGTTCTACAACTCGCCATGGTATGGGTATCATTTTGGGATCTACTTTCCAAGGTTCTGCATCAACCACGGCTTTTGAGTACATGGTGATATCCTCGAGTGTTTTCCCCATAGGGCCATTGACACTGTGTACTGCCTCTTGGCCGGCAAGGCCAGATGTACATCTTTGCGTCGTGAAGCGACCAAACGATGGGCGAAGAGTGAAGATACCAGTGCATGCTGCTGGTATCCGTAAACTGCCGCCCTGTTTGTACTGTCAGCAAAAGGATGTGTAAACCTAGATCGGACTTACTATATCGGTTCCAACGCCTAGAGGACTGCCTCCGAATGCAATAAGGGCTGATTCTCCACCAGAGGATCCTCCAGATGTGACTTTTCGGTTTAATGGGTTGACTGTACGGCCAAATGTGTTGTTCACAGACTCTGCCTATACGATGTAAGTTTCCATACCGTGACCGACGTAAAAATACATACAATCATCATGGCAGTTGGCACATTGGTCTTACAGTATCGCACTGCGCCAAGCTTCCCCAGCAAATCTACAAGTGTCGAATTGTATTCAGATGGCTTGCCTACAAGGGATGTAAAGCCGACTGTGCTGTCTTTTCCCTTGACATTAAAGTTGTCTTTGAGAGAAATAGGCAGGCCATGGAGTGGCCCCACCACCTTGCCAGTTCGCTGGAGATGCTCATCAAGGAACTTTGCTTGTGCAATTGCCTCATCGAAGAACACATCACTCAGGCAGTTGGTCTGTTTTGCGTCAGGTGGTATTCAAACTATTTCCAAGACTTCTATCATACCAATTGATGGGCTGCCGCAGCACGTTTGCAAAAGGCAGCGGTTACATCTTCTGCGCTCCATGTTTTGGACGCAGTCTTTTCCAGGATCTGGGAAGCTGTACTACCTGTAATCTCCAGCTCCTTTGGCGTAAACCATCCGGACTCCTTTGGCCAGACTGTTACATCGAGTTGGGACTCTGGCGGCAATTTGTCCTGAGGTATGCGATATAGCGTCGGAATGGATTCCGCCAAGGCTGCGCGCTTCCCCGCAGCGACTTTCTCCCAGTTCGGTTCAGCTACCATGGCTCAAAACTTGTGCAGCCCCAAGACTCTGCAATGTTGAAGTACAGCAGCAACAAACTTCTGCGACACCCAAAGTAGATTATTGCGCCCATATCCGTGGGTAACCCATTCCTACTTTATCCAATCCGCGTGGTCCTCGGCCGTACCTTTCAAGCCCATGACCATGCCACTCCCCGCACTTATAGGCTCCACACCACCCCGGCTGACCTCTTTACAGGCTATCCGGTAAATCGGCCGAGTACGCTATCATTGTCGAAGGCGACAACCTGCCTTGTTGAGCTTGTCTTTTGGCCACCGATACCGGCGATTAGTTGCCTATCGAGAAGGCTTAAGATCTGCAAAAGGGAATTCCTGATTACGCATTTCCCGAGTCAGTTAAAAGTGGCCTATTATCTCTGGTATCTTGCACTTTTTGCCTCGGTCTTATCATGCGCGTATCCGAGTCCCTGATCCGAACCGTACTGAACATCTACAGACGGATCCGATAAGGAAAATCGGAGGTTGGAGTGATAGTCTCTGTTTATCGATATACCTTACAAAACAACAACTTTGCCCAAACTCTGCAGCCATCGTCAGAGAACCATCTCGCCACTGGAAGGCGTTGTCAATTCAGCATGGCGAACAGCTTCATCGCCTATCTGCGAGGCGACCAGAATGCGCCTGGAGAGCGCAAACTGGTGCAGAAGCTTGATTTTTTCATCCTAACTTTCTGCTGTCTCATGTACTTTCTCAAGTATGTGTTGGTGCTCAAAATCAAAATGAGACTTCTCTAATGCTGTGCAAAGTTACCTGGATCGCACCAATCTCAACAACGCGTATGTTTCTGGTATGAGGGAAGAGCTGAGTTTCAAAGGCAACCAGCTCAACCAAATCAATACTGTTTTTACGGTAGGGTAAGGTTGAAGAATGCCAAACACGGAGTATTCTGCTGACTGGTGACTAAGATACACAATCGGCCAAGTGCCATGTAATATCGCATTGTACTATGTCAAACCACGCTACTTCTTCCCACTATGCATGGTATGATCTATAGCCATTCACACTACTACATCAACTAACAAGTATACAAGGTAGCATGGGGCGCCCTAACAATGGTCACGGCAGCAGCCCAAAAGCCCCAGGATATCATGGCCATCCGCTTCTTTCAGGCCTTGTTTGAATCCTCAACATTCGTAGGAACCCACTACATCCTCGGATCATGGTACACCGAGAAAGAGCTAGGGAAACGATCTGGAATCTTCACAGCATCTGGTCTTGCAGGCACCATGATTGGTGGGTTCATCCAGACCGGAATCCACAGCAGTATGGATGGTCTACGAGGCATGAGCGGATGGCGATGGCTATTCAGTAAGTTTCACCAAAGAAAGGAAACAAATTCCAACCCTCCCCCGATATACAAGAAGAACAATCTAATTCACTAACTTCCACAGTAATCGACGGCATCATAACCCTCCCCGTCGCAATCTACGGCTACCTTCTCTTCCCCGACACCCCCCGCAACACGCGCGCCCCTTACCTCAGTGCCTCAGAAAAAGCTCTCGCCATTTCCCGCGTCCCCGAAGTCTCAGAGCGCACACCCATCTCCCTTTCCTTCGTCAAACACTGCTTCAAAACATGGTACTGGTACTTCTTCGTCATCCTCTGGATCCTAGCCGGTGAAACAGAATCTTTCAGCACAAACGCCCTGCTGCAACTGTACATGAAGTCGCATCCCACCAATAAATACACAGTCACGCAGAACAATAACTATCCAACCGGGGTTCCCGCTGTAGGAATCGTATCAACGCTCTTCTGGGCTACATTGACGGATTTCATGGGTGGGAAACGGTATTTAGGTACTTCTTCCTTCCTCCCCTCCTCTCCCCCTAAAAACACATACACACACACATATATATATATATATATACGACATTTGACTAATACACAATGCTAAAAGTCGGCTACTGGATCGCCATAACCGGCATCCTAACCTCCTCCCTCATCCTCGCCTACCCACACAACACAACCATCCACTTCGCAATGTACTACTGGGCTGGCAGCGTGTACGCCTGCCAAGCCACCTTCTTCGCCTGGGCCAACGACGTGCTGCGCTACGAAGAAGACAGTCTGCGTGCCGTCGTCATTGCCAGTATGAATATGGGGAGTAACGCCATCAACGCGTGGTGGAGCATCGTCTTCTACGGCGCGAGCTATGCGCCGTATTTTACGCGCGGAATGTGGGCTATGATTGCGGTCAGCATAGCTATGGGTTTGTGGACGGGACTGCTGGTTTGGATGCAGGTGAGGACGGAGAAGAGGAGGGAGACCGAGGGGGTGCATGGGACGACGGTTGTTGCGGGGAAGGGCGTTGTGGAGGAAGCTGACGAGGAGAAGAAGCGTGAGGATAGGGTTTAGAAAAAAAAGGGGGGGAGGTTCACTGTTTTCTAGCTTAGTTTGCGTCTTTCACAATGGATAGGTCAACAGAATGAGATGTTGTACGTGAATATTTGCCTAAATTTCACTCTTTAAGAGAGAGAGAAAAGGAAAAAACGCCAAAGTTGTTATGCAAAAAAAAAACACCCACCCCTCTTTAGCAAAAGTTTGACTTTAATCCTTTCCGACCCGGCATCCCCCCCTCCGTTAACTACCAATACCGTTACGTTCTACGACACACCGCCGAACCGCTGCGTCGACCTACCTCCACGCATGCTATTCATGAAATCAGCAGAAGGGTCAGAGCCCAGTCCATTCCAGCCATTAGCACCCACACGCTGCGTCTCACGCTGGGCTTTTGCGATCTTCTCTTGGAGCTGCGAGGCACCAGAGTCAATAAGCTGGAGCTGTGAAAGCTGCGTGTTGAGGACGCGGACGACCTTTGTAAGGGGATCGTCTGGCTTGCCAGTCTTGCTGAGCGTCTGGGAAGTGCTGTTTATTTCCTCAATCATTTCTGTGAGATCTTTGTTTAATTCGTTGAGGCGGTCTTGAAGTTTTTCTGCAAGCTTGTAACTGTTGTGGTTTTGTTAGTTTCTTGTACTTTTCTGACCACGTGCGGATATAAAAGAATATACTTACGTTCTCTCACGCTCCTGGTCTGGGCCTCGCAGGCTCTCGTTCTTGCCGCTGACACCATGCATCTTCATGAGATTGTCAATTTCCTTCTCATAGCGGTCGAGGTAAGAGTCCAGTTCTTGCTGGTTCTCTTCCATCATCGTCAGCTGCCTCTCAACCTCGGCAGCATCACGCTCTGCCTGAAAGGTCTTCGAGTACAGTTGTCGAACCTTATCAGAGTTCTCGACCAATGCTCTGTCCCATGAGGCCACCTGCTCAGCTTGAGCCTGGAACTCCTTCTGGTATTTTGATAGGTCTGCTGCCCAACGCGTGATGATTTCGTCCATGGACTTATTCTTCAACCGTGATTGCGCCGATGGCGCGGGTCCCGCGGTTGAGGCTGCAAGCCCACTCTGGGCCGCATTGCCGCCCGCAGTCCCACTAGTAGCACCCAAAGTAGATGCCGGCTGTGATTCGGCGTTGGGCTTCGATGCAGGCGCCTCACTTCCGGAGGGCTTACTGAAAAGGCTTGGGGTGGTGATTGAGGTGGTTGCAGCCCCAGAAGTTGCGGGTGCGGCAGAACTTCCGCCGCCCAAGCTCGGGAACAGCGATGTTCCAGATGATGCGGTTGAGGCGGGCGCTGTGGTTGTGGCGGTAGTAGCTGCACCAGTAGTTGCCGGTGTGCTAGTAGCGGCAGCAGGTTTGCCGAAACCGAAGCCACTTCCGGTCGAAGCTGGCGTTGAAGTTCCCGCAGTTGAGAATAGGCTGGTTGCTGTACCCGCAGAAGCTGCTGTGCTACTGGTGTTTCCACCTAGGCTCAAGGTTGGTGTGCTGCTGGATGCAGGCTGCGAGGAAGCGGGTTGTGCGGATGATGTAGCGCCAAGGGTGAATCCTGACGGTTTTGCTGGCGCAGCAGCAGGTGTCGTGCTTCCAAGACTGAAAAGGCTACCCGCAGGTTTGGGCGTCTTCGCATCTTGTCCACCAGACGTCGATGTTTGATTTCCTCCTCCAAACAGGTTGGATGTGGGCGCAGCAGCAGGGGTAGCGCTCTTGTTTGCGTCGTTGGAGGCTGCTGTGTTTCCTCCTAAGCTGAACAGGCTAGGGGTGGAAGAAGAGGTTGTGGCAGGCTTTGCGCCACCGAACAAAGAAGATCCGGCTCCAGTAGTTTGGCTACTCTGCTGGCCGAACAAAGAAGAGCCAGATTGGGCTCCACCGCTAGATTGGGCAGGCTGACTGAACAGGCTACCACCCGGAGGAGCGCCGGCTGGGGTAGTGGAGGGGAAAAGAGATGTCTTGTTTGTTGCAGGTGTGGCTGATGGTGCTGAGCCTGAGGTTTGTGTTAGCAGGCGCATAGAGCCGACCGGGACGTGTATGGATACTCACTAGCAGCTGTACCGAATCCAAACGAGGGAGTAGAAGAGGAGGCAGCACCACCAGAGGAAGCTCCACCCCCGCCAAACAATCCCCCGGCTGGCTTGGACGCATCGCCCTCCTTCTTTCCAAGTCCTCCAAAGCCTCCGCTACCAAAAGCCGACGGTGTTGACGACGCGCCAGCTTGACCTCCGCCAAAAAGACCACCAGGTTTTCCTGCGGGTGTGCTTGATGCTGCAGCACCACCACCACCACCACCGAAGAGACCCGATCCGGCTGTGTTGCTAGTGGCGCCGCCGAAGAGACCGCCACTGCTGGGTGCGCTGGACGTGTTGTTGGTGCTGCTGGCGGTGCCGAAGAGAGATGGTGTTGCGCCGCCAGTTGAGGGTGTAGCGCCAAACAGAGACTTTCCAGGCGTGCTGCTGCTGCCACTGCCGCTGTTCTGCTGGCCGAATGAGAAGCTCATGTTGGCGATTGTATAAGGCCGGCGCTGGTGGATGGGTGTTTGTTGAAGGAGTTGTTGTTGAGGTCGGAGATGCTACTATCGAACGCGCAACTGGGCTAGGCGTGTCGCGACCGTAGAAGTAATTGCTGGACCACTGTTAATTGGCAAGTTGAAGTGGATGCGCGCAGATGTACACGACCTTCTCGCGCGTCAATGTCGCATCCAAAAGTTGGACAAACAGATGCATGGGTCGAGCTTAGCTCCGGTGAATCGTTGTTCCTACCTGGCCAGCGGCCGGGATTCCAGACCGCCGCTCCCCGCTAATCGCAGGTGCCTGAGACTCCACGACGACGTCGAGGCAAGGAGGCGCAGTCTTTAGTAGTTCGTCTCCGTGACGCACTTCTCTTGTTATCTATACCCAATTCCACCAAATATCAATCCCAATCTACTTCCCACAACCTCCTGTTGTACACGTGTAGATTAAACGAACATCCAGCGGCTCTCGACATGTCGGACGAGCTAGCACCACCCCGCAAGAGTGTAGAGCTGGAGGACCCAGGTGCGAAGGAGCTCAGTATGCTACATCATTCGCCAATCTGAGCGGCTTGTATCTGACTATATGCAGCCGAATCAAGTGACGAGCACTTCTCCGATGCGTCTGAAGGCCAGGCTAGACGTTTTACGTTGTCGTCACCAATCCCAATAACGCGAGTGGAGCGGGTCGATGATACGCCAGCACATGGCGAAGTGCCGGGAACAGAGGCATACAACAAACGCACTCAAGACGCCGTGCCCGACGAGGTCGAGATCGTGCCAGAAGGCATGCGAAGCCGCAGTGCATCACGCGTGAGCGTCAGCGACCGGCCTATTACGCCAGGAGGAACGCCCATCCCAAAGACGGTGGTTGAGAAGATTGATCCCGACGAGCCTAGCTACGGTGATGTGCCTGGCACAGAAGCACATCAGCAGCGTCTGGCAGATGCGGAGCCTGATGTAGTCATCAAGGCACCACAGGAGGCGCAGCGCAGCAACTCAGGTACGTAGGGCATTTCCTTGGTGCCTCCTGCGTACCATTGACGACGGAAGAAGGGTCACCAACCTCGCATGACAGATCTACAATAAATCCGAGTGACGACGCAGCCGAAGCGGCGCCCGAAGCCAAAGATGTGGTTCAACAACAAGAGGGCAACGACGACGACTTTGGTGATGACACAGCAGACGTGGCAGCTGGTGATGACGATGACGACGATGGGTTTGGGGACTTTGACGAGTTTGAAGAGGGTGGGGAGGGTGACGACGATTTTGGAGACTTTGACGATGGGTTTCAGCAAGGCGAGCACGAGGCAGAGACATCATTTGATAAAGTGCCAGAACAAGCTCCTGTACCTGCCCCTTTGCCAGGTCCTGTAAGTTGCAGCAATTCTAGCCCACTGATAGTATTGCTTGGACCGTTTGTTACTGTGACATTCTGACTAACCTTTTTGCCCGTACAGCCCGTCTTGGACTTTGAGCATCTCACATCACCTGAAGACATTACTAGCGCAACACGGCCTTACCTGGAGGATATGTACCCTTTGCCAAGAGACATACCCAGCATATCTACCAATCCGGAGGAGACACGGTCCATTTTCTTGTCGGAGCGCAGCCACTCGCTGTGGAGCCAGCTGGTTGCACCGCCACCACTGCAGCCACCAGACTGGGTACGGTCACGGATACGACGACTGTTTCTCGTCTCACTGGGCGTGCCCGTAGACCTGGACGAAATCCTGCCAGCGTCGAAGCAAAAGAAGCTTATCCTGCCGTCAATCCACATACCTGGAGAGCGCTCGCCCCGCCCTTCGTCTGATGGGCGCAGCAACGGCGGACCACTGGGGCGCATCAGACGCGAGAATGAGTCGTCGACGTCAGTGGATTCGTCAAGCTCAAAAGTCGAGCGCAAGCGAAAAGGGCCCCCACCACCTCCTGAACTGGACATTAGCAGTACGACGCAGCTGTGTGCGACGACGGACGCGGCGCTCGAGGGCTTGACGGACGACGAGCTGCGGATGCACATTGATCACCTCAAGGCACTGCAGGAACGGGCAAAGGAGGTGTTTGAGTACTGGCAGAAGCGGATGGAGAGCGCGCTAGGAGACAAGGATGCGTTTGAGCAGGTGATTGAGAGTTTGGTGGCCCACGCCAAAAAGCTGCGGTAGTCTTGTCTAAGCAAGTGCACGTAATAATGTAAAGACATAGTTTGGGTGTGATTTACGAGCTCGTCTCCTGCGGGTGATTGTGATGGACGTGTTTGTTCGCGTTGGCGTTTTGGTTTGGTGACCCCGCATTATGGGATAGCGCGGGCTGGCCAAGGCTAGGTGGCACGCGGCGGAGGGTGATTTGGTACTTGTTTTTTTTCTCTTGGCTGCCCTTGAATTGCTTTTTTCTTCGAGACAAGGAAGCTGAAATCAAACGGAGGGGCTGGAAGAGACTGATGGCAAAAAATAAAAAAAATCTGCAGTATGCCATGGGTCTAGGTGCAGTATGACTGTGTAAATATTTCGTAGACATTGCATGTGAGTGTGCAGGACAGCATGTTGAATAAGCTTCTGCAAGGTAACCAATCGGCATGGCAGGAGCAGTTTATGAAGGCCGTCTGCAGTGGCAGTGGCAGTGTCAGCGCTCAGACGGGAGGTTATAGTATGTATGCGGAGTCGATCCATTACGATCTACGCAGGCCAATCGTGGCAGTGAAGACGCCGGGAGCACATGGGCGGTCTTGACCGGCAAGGGCCAAAGTTTACAGGCATGGTTAGGCGGGATGCGGTGTGGCCATGAGGGTGGTGGTGGAGAAGAAGATGGCGTTGTCGAGTAGAGAGAGCACAGTGGAATGGGCAGCATGTGCCGGGAAGTAGAGTAAGTAAGCGGACACAGAATGCGCTTAGGCAGCGCTACTATAGGCTCCGGGGAGACCCTGAAGACCAGCACCCAAGGCGGTAGTCTGGCGTCCGAGCGCACCCCACCCGTCGACCCATTGAGCAGCGTACCCTCGTCGTCTCCCGTCCGTCAGCAGCCCCATGGACGCTACTATCACAGATTGAGATGCGAGCAAGGCACGATAAGGAGATTACCGCGGTGGTGGTGGCCATGGGCGGCTGGTGACGGGCAATCTTGCGGAGTGGGATGGGCACAGGTGAAACAAAGACGACTGACTATGTGCGCAGCAAAAGAGGGAAAAAGGGGACGATCAAACAGGAGAGGGCGTGTGGGCAGAGTCGCGCACCGTTAAAATTAGTGGCGCATGTGGACAGAGTTCACCGTCCGTCGACGTTGAGGTTTGGTGCCCGCGAGCGCGGCCAGCGAGCCAGTGGCAGATGCGGATAGGGGTAATTTGCCACAGGGCAGTGGGTGCAGTGGGTGCAGCGTGGCGCCTCGGCCGGACTGCCCTGCCCTGCCCTGCACACGCTCGTACGTTTGCTGCTAGGAGCAGAGGCGGTCACGCTTTGCCATGGGTGCCCGCCCCAGGCGATGCAGGCCGATTCCATCGCTGTGGATTGTCTGTTTGTATGCACCTCTATACATAGACATATGGTTTGCATCTTTACACAACGTATCCTCGTTCATATTCCATGCCAGGACAAGATGGAGAGCGAAAAGCCCTTGTAGCGTAGCCATGACGTCGCCGTCGCCGCACGTGACGGCCACAACAGGGCCTGCACCGCTGTCTTTGCAAGCCCCCTTCTCTCATTTCACCGTCACGAGGGCGTCGCTGGAAGGAGGCTAGAGCCGTTGTCGTATCCAACTAGAGTACGCAGACAGCGCAGGCACAGGCGTCCTGGCCATAGGCGTTGTCGTCCCGTAGCTGCGGCGGGCAGGCTGGCAGGCAAGCAGACGGACCAGCGGACAGGCTGGCAGCATGTGTGCGACCCGACTCGACTCGACTCGACTCGACTGGATTCGATTCGACTCGCTCGTCGCGTCCGGCGTCCGCCGAGGTGGCCGTGGTGGAAGACTGGGGCGTTGCAGGCGTGGCATTTGGGTGCGGCGCCATGGAATTGGCGTGGTCCGACAGGCCTGCTAGCCGACAACTGACAGGCGCAAATGCCATGGCAAGCATGGCAGCCCTCTCTTCTCCCTCCAACACGGCAATTCCTGGGCCGATCCCTTTGTGAGGCAGCGTACCACAGTTTAGCCTCCAATTCATTCACCTCTTCTGCATCTTTTGCCCTCAGCCTGCCAGCCTGCCTGCCATCTCGCTCATTCTCCTTGTCCATCAGAGGTCTGTGGCTTGTGCGTGCGCCTACTGTACATTACTTGCACGCCTGTACCGGCTTGCAACACGCCCTGGCTTTTCATTTGCCCATCCCATCGCCAGCACCCTACCCACGACACGCTTATCCTCTTTCCGCGCCCGCCTGTTCTCCCGGCGGGGCCTCCCTGCCTTTGCGCCTCTTCGACACCATCCACCCGACCTCATCTCGCCTTCTTCCCTCTGCGCTGCCTTTTCCTCTGTAAAAACTCTCTTGTCCCGCCCCAGACGTCTGGTTGACCATCTGCCCATCAACCCCCTCCTAATCCCCAACCACTGACGTCTTCGCCCTTCCGCCTCGCTCTTGCCGCCTCCAATGCGCACATAGCATCGCTCGAGATCCTTCCTCACCCCTCTCACTCCAGCCGCCGCTGCCCACCGCCGCTGCCGCCATGGCTGCAGAGACATACTCGGGCGTCGCAGCCATCATCCGCAACCTCGCCCGCCAACACGATCCCGCCAGAGACCCCAGCTTCAGTGCCCAAGTCTCCGCAAACGGCGCCAAAACCGCCGCAAATGCAATCGCCCTGCCTGGTCCCGAGAGCGAAGAAAAGACACAATTAGAACAAGAGCTGTCGGCTCTGTGCAGCCGCATAGACTTTCTTGAGCACAAGTGCAGCCATGCCGCTGCCAAATCAGGCCAATTTCCTCTGACGCCCGCACAAGAGTCCCCCGACGATGGCGTCCTATACACTCCTGCCGGTGCCATTCGCAACAACAGTGCCCCACCTGGTCAGGCTCGTCGGGGCTCAAACAAGGAGCGCGCCATCTGGGTGTCCAACTGGCTCGCTGCAAAGGAAACAAATGGCGGCCCCGAGGAGCCTGCCGCCGCCCTCACTGAAGAGCAACTGAATTATCTACGCGTACACTTGAACCAGCAGGCCGACCAGATTAGGAACCAGCGCGAACACATCGGTACGAGCAAATTCATGCATAGATATATAATCATTGCATATTTTATCTTCATTTTCAGCCATATACTAATATTACGTAGACAACCTGAGCCGGGAAGTGAACAAGCAACTGACAACACAGAGCATGGTGTTCGAACATGGCATCGAGGACATTGGCGCACTGAAACGAGAACTCGGCAAGCACCAGCAAGGTAGGCCTCAACCCCGCCACACGTGAGCAACTGCGACTAACGTCATCCAGCCAACCTGGCTTTCCAGAAAGCACTGCGGGAGATTGGCGCCATCGTCACGGCTGTCGCCATGGGAGATCTGAGCAAAAAGGTTCTCATCCATGCAAAGGAAATGGACCCTGAAATCACTCTCTTCAAGCGCACAATCAACACCATGGTGGACCAGCTGCAAGAATTCGCCAGTCAAGTCACATTCCTCGCTCGAGAGGTCGGTACTGAAGGCAGATTGGGCGGTCAGGCAAACTTACCAGGAGTTGCTGGTATTTGGGCTGAGCTGACGGATAGTGGTACGTCTTGATTCGTGTCCCGCTATCGGGCCGATACTAACATGTCGCATAGTCAACATGATGGCCAATAATCTCACCGAGCAGGTGCGAGAGATCGCCGTAGTGACGACTGCTGTCGCTCATGGCGATCTAAGCCGCAAAATTGAGCGACCGGCCCGAGGAGAGATCCTGCAATTACAGCAGACCATCAACACCATGGTGGATCAACTGCAGTCATTTGCAACTGAAGTCACAAAGGTCGCTAGGGACGTCGGCACCGAGGGCAAGCTCGGTGGACAGGCTGAGATTGCCGGTGTCAAGGGCATGTGGAATGAACTCACTGTAAACGTCAACGCCATGGCACAAAACCTCACTACCCAGGTGCGAGACATTGCTCAGGTCACCACGGCTGTCGCCCAAGGCAACCTTACGCGCAAGGTCGAAGCCCAGTGCAAGGGTGAAATTCTCGAACTCAAGAACACAATCAATCGCATGGTGGACCAACTGCAGCAGTTTGCACACGAAGTCACCAAGATTGCAAGAGAGGTCGGATCCGAGGGTCGCCTCGGTGGACAAGCCACTGTGCATGGGGTTGAGGGTACCTGGAAAGACCTCACCGAGAATGTGAACGGTATGGCGATGAATCTGACAACCCAAGTGCGAGAAATCGCAGAGGTCACGACGGCTGTCGCTCGAGGAGATCTTAGCAGAAAGGTCAAGGCCGAGGTACAGGGCGAGATTCTTTCTCTGAAGATCACCATCAACACCATGGTGGACCGCCTGAATACTTTTGCCCAAGAAGTCAGCAAGGTCGCTCGTGAAGTCGGAACTGACGGAATCCTCGGTGGCCAAGCCCAAGTCGACAACGTCGAAGGCAAATGGAAGGACCTGACAAACAACGTCAACACTATGGCCCAGAATCTCACATTACAAGTGCGTAGTATCTCCGAGGTCACGCAAGCCATTGCCAAGGGAGACATGAGCCGAAGAGTACACGTTGATGCCGAGGGTGAAATCCGGTTACTCAAAGACACCGTCAACGACATGGTTATGAGACTCGACGAATGGTCTCTTGCTGTGAAGCGTGTAGCCCGCGATGTGGGTGTAGACGGCAAGATGGGTGGTCAAGCCGATGTGCGAGACATTGACGGACGCTGGAAAGAGATCACCACGGACGTCAACACCATGGCTCAAAATCTTACATCGCAGGTGCGCGCTTTCGGTGACATCACCAACGCTGCAATGGAGGGCAAGTTCACTCAAATCACCGTCGAGGCTTCTGGTGAAATGGATGAGCTGAAGAGAAAGATCAACCAGATGGTGTCTAGTTTGCGAGAGAGTATCCAAAGGAACACGGCTGCTAGGGAAGCCGCTGAGTTGGCCAACAAGACAAAGTCAGAATTCCTGGCCAACATGTCGCACGAGATCCGAACGCCCATGAACGGTATCATTGGTATGACGCAGCTTACGCTAGACACCGACCTTACCCACGCACAACGAGAAATGTTGACTATCGTACACAACCTCGCTGGTCAGCTACTCACCATCATCGACGACATACTGGATATCTCGAAGATTGAAGCCAACCGAATGGTTATGGAGGAGATTCCATTCTCCATGCGCGGCACCATATTCAATGCTCTCAAGTCTCTGGCGTCGAGGGCCAACGAGCGAAAGCTGAACCTTGCTTATGATGTTTCGTACACTGTACCCGACTATGTTGTGGGTGATTCTTTCAGGTTAAGGCAGATTATTCTCAACCTTGTCGGTAACGCCATCAAGTTTACTGAGCATGGAGAGGTCAAGGTCGCCATATCGATGGCGGAGGAGCAAGACTGCGGACCCGACCACTACGTTTTCCAGTTTGCGGTCTCTGACACTGGTATTGGAATTCGTGGCGATAAGCTCAACCTCATTTTCGATACGTTCCAGCAAGCAGATGGCTCAACTACGAGGAAGTTTGGTGGTACTGGTCTTGGACTGTCTATCTCGAAGCGTCTCGTCACTCTTATGGGTGGTCGCATGTGGGTCGAGTCCGACTTTGGAAAGGGTAGTGTGTTCTACTTCACATGCAGGGTCCGTCTCGGCAAGCCAGAGATTACCGCTATCCAGCCCCAACTTGTCGCATACAAGCAACACACGGTGCTGTTTGTCGACCAAGGCAACACTGGTTTCTCGGACCAGATCATTGAGCACTTGAAGGCCCTGGATCTCGTACCCATGGTCGTCAACTCGGTTGAAGAGGTGCCTGAGACTACAAAGAGAGCCGACATGCCTTACGACTGCGTTATTGTCGACAATGATAAGACGGCACGAGAGCTCAGGATTGCCGAGCGCTTCAAGTACATTCCTCTTGTCATGCTGACGCCACATGTCTGCATCAGCCTTCGATCTGCACTGGAAAACGGTATCTCGAGCTACATGACGACACCTTGCCTGCCAATCGATTTGGGCAACGCACTCATTCCAGCACTGGATGGCCGTGCCGCACCTCTTGTTTCTGACCATTCCAAGTCATTCCAGATTCTGCTGGCCGAAGACAATGCTGTCAACCAGAAACTTGCTGTCCGAATCTTGGAGAAGTACCACCACAGGGTCACTGTGGCCAACAACGGTCTCGAGGCCTTTGAGCACATCCAGAAGAAGCGCTACGACTGCGTACTTATGGATGTGCAAATGCCGGTCATGGTAAGCTGAACACCGCTGGATAATGAATCACAACTAACATGATACAGGGTGGCTTTGAGGCCACGGCTAAGATTCGTGAATGGGAACGCGAGAACGGTATCCCGTCTACACCAGTCATTGCACTCACGGCACACGCAATGGTTGGCGATCGCGAGAAATGTCTTGCAGCGCAGATGGATGTAAGTTGATGCGCGACCCCTACATTGATTCTCGATACTGACTTGAGTAACAGGACTATCTCTCCAAACCCCTTCGTCAAAACCAACTTATCCAGACCATTCTCCGTTGTGCCACTGTTGGAAGCACAATCTACGATCACACAAGTGAGCCACGGTATACGGCGTCATCACACATCCCCAACCTTGACCTGCCAGGAAACAGCAAAGACAAGGCGCCTACAGGAGCGGCGTCGGCGTCGACAACAAGCCCCAAGAAGCGACCGCAACTCGAAGCGCGAGGCTTCACGGACCGTGGCGGAGGCGCTGATAGCCCCAACCTGTTGGCGGTGGATCAGACGGATAATGGCAGTGTCGAGAGAGTACGTTCCTTGTCCGCTAGTTTGTGAGTAATTGACCCTAATATATGTGCGTTGTAGCTTTTGCTGCGGAGTCACAGTAGCTGAGTTTGTGTGACATAAAGGAAGAGGAGAAGGCTTGATTAGTTATGTATTCGAGCCCTCTTCAGGCTGAATCCTGCCAAACGACAACTGCATCAACAACACCCACCTCGACGAGTATCGACGATGAACGATGAACGACATTCTCAACGCCAGTAGCGCGTTGTAGCGATGCCAATCGGGAACACGCCGGTTATCGAAGTAATGACGTTGATGGAAGGTTGGAGCTAAAGCAAGAATCGTCCTTGTTGTTTTCACAAACGCCAGCTATGGAGCATTTTTTCGGTTGGCGTTTCTACTGTGCTGGATCCAGTTTTGCTGCACGCCTCACATGACCTTTTTTCTGTGGTAGTTTTTTCCAGCATATCTCGGCGTTTAACTGTTATCATTGTTTCGGGGAGTTTGACTTCTAAGGGTCTTCCGTCAAATGTGGTCTTTTGGGGTACCTTGGCTTCTTTTTTAAAACTTTGGAGATGCAGAAATCTACCTGGTCGGCTTGGAGCACCGCTGTGAAGTAGTATCGTGGTACATATATACATGTGTTATTTCTTGTCTCTCTATTGCTAATGTGTCTTTTTTCAAATGCGTGATGTATGACTATTATCTGCGTAGAGTTGGAAAAATTAGTCTACGCTGTGTACCCTCGCACAACTCGCGTGACGTCGTTGTACATGTTGTACAGGGCGCCAAGCCTAGCCTGGCGTGTTTCTCTTGACCGGAGGACGTGCAGCCGCAGCTGCCAGAACAAAAGTCCTTCAGCCGTTCGCCTCAGCAATAGTCGTGTCAGCATAGCATAGGGTGCCTTGTAACGAGTATCTACTGCACTGCCCATTCGGCACCATTTAGGCTTTGAGCGATTACTTTTGCCGCATTGCAGATGCAATGCAACCCAAAGCCCAGATGACGTTCAGCCGCGGGCTTACCAGGGTCAACCTATCGATAGTAATCGAGGACGCGACAGACACACTGGTGGCTTCCCTTTGTCCTCTGTGCGCGCAACCCCCCACCACGAGGCTATGGTGTTTGCGATACGGTGGAATAGGAGCGCCTAGCTCTTTTCTTTTGACTTCTTCCTTCGTTTTTCTCGTTTCTCTTTCGCCATCGTCTCGTTTGACGAAATACGAGGGTGTCGCAGTTTACGTTGCACAAAAGAACCCCCGGCGAAACGACCGCGCAGCGCGTCGTGGCGTGTCATTGCAATTGTCTTACAGGGCTTCCTTTCACTCTTCATTTGGCCACACTGCAGCCTGAAAGTCGCTTGGGGCCTCACGGTGAATCGGCTACGCACAGCGGTCACTTTTGACCACTTCATTCCGCCGCCCTACACTCTCGCCCTCGATCTATAAGACCCGTCTACGCCGCACTGTTCTCCATCCAGCGCACTTCCCCTGTCCCGAAACCCCCATTTCGACGTCCATTACATTCGCTTCGTTTGTCTCGCCACACTGCTGTGGTAGTCAGCCTAGCCAGGATGGATATGGCAAATGACACCAATGCTCTTCAGGCAAACATTGCCATGATAAGAGCGATCCTCCCCACTGTTGATGATATCGATAAGCCATACTACGAGCAGCAGCTCCATGATATGTCTGAAAGGCTCCAAAAGCATCGCGAGCAAGCCCGGGCCTTTCAGCCAGGATACGCTCCTGCCGTTCCCTCAAATGGCATACGAAGGCCACATTCGCCACCTCGCGCCCTGCCATCGCATTCTCTCAAGCGTAACCTAGAGCTAGCCGGCGGCCCTGAGGCCAAGCGTATCAGCAGGCAACCAAGTCCAGATATCACAACACCCCCCTTCGAGTCGTGGTCACAATCATTGCCTCGTCGGGAGTCAAATAATATGCATCGATCTGATCAAATAGCTTTCGTAGATTTGACCGAGTCTGATCCTCCTACCCCTGTACGATCTCCCCAGCCGCCTATGCGGGCGCCCACGTATTCGGATCCGTTTCCAGAACTGCACAATGCTTATCGGGGAGCATTCCGCAATGGCCATTCGATGCCGGCCAATAATGCTAGTAGGGATTATATGTCCGTACCAGAGCTGGCTGAGTTCATGATGACCCCAAACCCACCAGGTCATAGCTATGGATATCAGCAGCAGCCGCATGTATTTCCAGGGGCTCAAACTGTTGGGTTCGATTACTATGCCAATCATGCGTTACCTCCTTACATGGATGCGCTTAGAGTACCTCCATTCATGGGAGCTGGTGATAGCGACGGTGATGAATATGGTGGCTTCCCAGGGAGTCATGTCGCTGAAACAGAGGCTATAGAGAAGCTCCTTGAGAATTTCAAGGGTGATGCTGAGAAGACTGAGAAGCGAGAGCCAACACCCGCCATCATGACCTGCACTCTTAAAGAGTACCAGCGAATTGGTCTGACCTGGCTCCTCAAGATGGAACGTGGTGACAACAAAGGCAGTATTCTAGCTGATGACATGGGATTGGGAAAGACGGTAGGTAAATCAGATCACATGTTGATGATCTATTCTCTGGTCTAACCTAGCTAATCCGCTGCTAACAATATGCTCAGATACAAGCTCTTTCGCTCATTTGTGCGAATCCACCCGATGATCCGGCCTGTAAAACAACTCTTATAATCGCGCCTGTGGCTCTCATGCGGCAGTGGGAAAAAGAAATCGAACGGCATGTTGATCCTCGTCACAAGCTCAGTGTATACCTCTACCACGGCACTGGCAAGAACGTCGAATTTTCCCGTCTTCGTCAGTACGATGTTGTGCTCACAACTTTTGGCTGCTTAACCTCGGAATACAAGCAGAAAGAGTCCCGAAAAGAGTCTATGCTGCACGAACAGGAGACACAGGACCCTTCTATTCGTCGCAAAGCCAAGGATAAGCTTGCATTGCTTGGACCCGAGTGCATGTGGTATCGCATCATCATTGACGAGGCTCATAACATCAAGAATCGCAACAGCAAAGCGTCAAAGGCCTGCGCAGACCTCATGGCCCGTCACCGCTTGTGCATGACTGGAACGCCCATGATGAACAGCATCGCCGAGTTGTACCCGTTGATTCGATTCCTCAACGTGAAGCCTTATTGTTCGTGGAACAAGTTTAACACAGACATCTTTAAAGTAAGTGATAAGTACTGGTGGATTTACGTGTTACAGGCTAACATTTCTCAGACCATCAAGCAAACACGTACGAGGAGCCAAGGGATGGATCGCGTTCGAATCCTGCTGGCATCTCTCATGCTGCGAAGGCAGAAGGACGCCAAAGTGGACGGACAGCCAATCTCCAAGATTCCGCCCAAGCATATCGTTGTTGACAACGTTGATTTTAGCGACTCAGAACTTGAACTGTACCGTGCTTTGGAGACGAGGACACAGCTTCAAATGAACCAGTACATTGACAATGACGCAGTTTCATGTAAGCTTGCTCAAATTAGTTTTGGCTTTGCAGGGTTGTATGCTAATAAGGTCCAGCCAACTATGCAAATGTCTTGGTCCTCTTACTTCGACTGCGTCAGGCCTGCTGTCATCCACACCTGATCAAAGATCTTAGCCAGCCAGCGACCGAAGGCATCGACGAGGACGACCTGTTGACCCGAGCGCAGGGATTGAATGCAGACGTCGTGGTGCGATTAAAGGATCACGACTCGTTCGAGTGTCCAATCTGTCTCGAGGCTGACCCTAATCCGACTATTATCATTCCATGCGGACATACGGTCTGTGGCGAATGTGTTCAGAAGCTCATCGATCCCGCAATGCGAGCAGCTCAGCAGGATGGCAACGATGAGACAAGTATACCCAAGTGCCCGCATTGTCGTGGCGAGTTAAGGGCCAAATTGATCACTGACTACAAGCACTTTTGCAAAGTCCATTGTCGCGAGCGTCTCGCATCGGCTGACTTGGATGATGAGGCCCAGGACGACGATTCCGACTCTGATGTTTCCGACTCTGAAGATGAGGATGCGCCCGACGTTGATAAGCAAGGCAATTTGGCTGGATTTGTTGTGGATGATGAAGAGGAAGACGGTAATGAGGCGGGTGATTCTGCTGCTCCCAAAGCAAAGTCCAAGAAGAAGTCGAAGAAGCGTGGCAAGGGCAAAGGCAAGGGCAAGGCGCGTGCTAAACCCAAGTTGACTTTGGCTCAGCTGAAGAAAGAGTCGATGCGCAGCAAAGCAGCTAAAAAGCGCTACCTCCGTCGTCTGGATAAGACATATGTTCCATCCGCGAAGATCAACCGAACCATCCAGCTCCTCCAAGAGATCCGCAACAACGACCCAACCGAGAAGACGTTAGTATTCTCCCAATTCACCTCACTCCTCGACCTCATCGAAGTCCCCCTCCACCGAGAAAACATGCAATACCAGCGCTACGACGGCACCATGAAAATGGACGCCCGCGCTGACGCCGTAAGCGCCTTCATGGACGACCCGGACCAAAACGTCATGCTCGTCTCCCTCAAAGCAGGTAATGCCGGTCTCAACCTCTGGAAAGCATCCCAAGTCATCATCCTCGATCCCTTCTGGAACCCTTTTATCGAAGACCAGGCTGTTGATCGCGCTCACCGCATGCCGCAGACGCGTGAGGTGCATGTTCATCGCGTGTTGGTACCTGAGACAGTGGAGGATCGTATTACGCATTTGCAAGATAATAAGCGCGAGATGATTGGGGCGGCGCTGGATGAACGAGAGTATAAGAATCTGACACGGTTGGATGTTAGGGAGTTGAGGTATCTGTTCGGTATGAAGTAGGGGGTGGAGGTGGTTCGTGGTGAAGGTGGATGTATGTGTGTGTGTGTGTGTGTTTGTGGCTTTTTCGGGAACTGGTACATCATGTTCAAGGGCTTCTCTTCCCCGGGGGTTGTTTTCCACATTCGCACCCCTTCTTCTTTTTCTTCTTCTCTTTGATACCCGATCTTTTACGATCAAGGCGATTCGGTTTCTGGGATAGGGGGGGTTTCCTTTTTACTGTGTCACATA